GAAAAGGCTCTTCTCCTTGACCCTGCTGCTTTTGAAGGGTGACCCCAATGTGAGCACCTGGAGCTCTGAAAGAAAAATTAAAAATCAAATCAATAAAAATGTCCTACCTGTATCTCATCTTGAGATCCATATGAAGTATAAAGATTTCAATAAATAGATAAATAAAACTTGTTCCTTCATGAATGTGTCCAATTCCCATTTAGACCCATCTGTATCAAATGGAGAGTCATCATATATATGTAGGATGCAATGCATTTTCTTTTTTTAAAACTAAAAAGTTCCAGCACTTTAGTTTTCCACATAGGAGAGGTATCCAGTCATTCTTACTTCCTACTGATTTATTACAGAGTTCAGCACAGAGTCTTAGAATAGCTAAGAAGCCATTAAATAAAATTAATACTAAAATATAATTATGATCATAAACAATTAAATGAGCCATAGCAATTTAAAATCTGTTAAGGAAGCACCACTAAGCTGGAAAGCTTCTCACAGTATCAATTTTTCTCTGTTCCTACCTCTGCAAACAAGCATCTTGAATCCTAAAAATGCTCATCAAGGGATAATTCTCAGTTGTGTAGACAGTGTTGAAGTTGTAGTGGGAGAGGTAATTGCTTACAATTATGCTTCCCTGAACTCCTTTTTTATACTGACAACATGAGAATAACTAATAACTTGCAATTATAATTTTAAATATGTGTCGATCCAGATAAAAAGCCAAGAGTTTTTCTAGCCAGCCCCATCACAATATATTTTTTCTACATTTATTTCTACTATAGTATAAACCTTTTCTTATTCTGAAATATTATTCCTGCAGGAAAATAAAAAAATATTGGAAAAAATACATCTTATATCTATGCTTCTCTCCTTACAGTTTCTAAGAGATACTTTGGTTTTTGAATTGGCGAAATAGGTTTTTTTAGGATCTTGAAATTTGAAAACACTGCATTCCTCTGAAGTATGAACAACACGACCTTCATTATCAATTCTAGCTGTGTTCCCACAGAGATAAGACTGCTATTCAGAGAAATTAAAAGAAATTCTATCCAGAATATAATATCTCTAGGAATTTATAAAAAGTCTCCTTTTAATTGTTATTATTTATGGCAACCCAGCCCCTCATCCATCAAAGGTAATGAGTGAATGAATCTTTAAGTGCTTATTTGAGAAGTTCAAAACATGTTATTACTGTATAAACCAGCCAACTCAGTGATATACTGAGACAGAAAAAGCTATGCTGGCTAAGAATTCTTAGTAGTATAATTCCAACATATAAGAAATGGTAGATTAATCTAAAAGTCTAGATTATTTAGTCTTTTGCTATTTTCAAAAGAAAGAACATGGAGCTAAAATAATGCTATAATTGGAAAAAAAAGATTGACACTCTGAAAGTATGCTGATGTTCTAATTTATAAATGCAGCTTTATCATAGTTAGCTTTCATTGTCTGATAGCTTTTAAAGGCAGTAAGCTATTATAAGCATTGAACCACTGAAAAGATGAACTTTTTACTAGTCAGTTAACTAAGGTATGTAGGAAGCACATCACAATAGAAATGGGGGCCTTTAACTACCCTGACATCAACTGGAAGAACAAAGTCAAACTGGAGTCTTGGACTTTAAGAGAGCTAATTTCAATAAACTTAGAGAGAACTTGGGAAGGATTCTATGGATGAGAATCCTCAAGAGGAAAACAACCCAAGAAGCTTGGGAAACTTTGCAAAGTGAGATTATAAAAGCCCAGCGTAGCACAATAATGAAGAAGAAAAATAACACTCTCAAAAGAAACAGACATGACTGCATAAAGAACTATCTGATTAATTGAAAGACAGAAAGGACAAGTATAAAAAATAGAAAGAGGGGCACATAACTAAGGCAGAATATCAGCAAATAGCCTGAGCCTGCAAAGATGAAGTGAGGAATACTAAGATTCAAAATGAACTAAGGTTTGTGACAAAAGTCAAAAATAACCAAAAAAAAGCTTCTTTGAACATGTAAAAAACAAGAAAAAAATAAAGGAAACAATTGGTCCATTAATGGGAGAAAGTGGCAAGAAGGTGAGAAGAAACAGCGAGAAAGCAGAACTGCTTAACTTGTTTTTGCATCCATCTTTACACAAAAGGAAAAAAAACAGTCCAACCTATCAAAAACAGTACCATAAAAAAAAGATTAGGAATACAAGTTAAAATAGGCAAGAAAATAGTACGTGAGCACCTGTCTACTAGATGAGTTCAAATCACCAGGACAGGATGGATTACACCCCAGGGTTCTGAAGGAACTGGCAGATGTGATCTCAGAACTACTGAACTATATTCTTTCAAAGATCCTGGGAACTACCAGAGGACTAGAAAAGAACTGATGTAGTTCCCATCTTCAAAAAAAGGGAAAAAATAGACCCAGGAAATTACAGACCTATCAGCCTGAGCTCAATACCTAGGAAGATTCTGGAAAAGATAATCAAGCAATGAATCAGCGAACAGCTAGAGGCAAATAAAATCATAACCAAAAGCCAACATGTGTTTGTCAAAAACAGATCATGCCAGACAAATCTTATTGGAATTCTTGGGCCAGGTGAAAAAATTAGTGGACCAGAGGAATGTTGTGGATATAATTTCCTTGGACTTCAGTAAGACATTTCATAAAGTAGACCACAATCTACTACTAGATAAGCTAGAAAAATGTGGGTTAGACAGCATTACTACCAAATGGACTCATAATTGGCTGACCAACTGCACTCAACGTGTAGTCGTCAATGGAACTGGAGGGAAGTAATTCAGTGGGGTACCCGAAGGCTCTGTTTTAGGCTCAGTACTCTTCAAAATCTGTATCAATGATTTGGATGAGAGGATAAATGGGGAACTTAATGCAGATGAAACTGAGTTGGCAGGAATAGCCAACACTCCAGAACGTAGGCTTAAGATACAGAAGGATCTTGACAGACTTGAACATCTAACAAAATGAAATTCAGTGGCAAAAAAGTAAGGTTCTACATTTAGGCAAGAAAAAACCAAGTGCACAGGTATAGTATAGGTGGTATCTGGCTCAATTGTAGTGCCCTGGGTGGGATAATATGTTAAGACTCTGGAAAGAGTACAGAGAAGAGCAACAAAGATGATCAGGGGACTGGATGCTAAAATATATAAAGAACGGTTGCTGGAATTGGGTAGTTTAATGAAAAGTCTGGTTTAATGAAAAGAAGAACTAGGGGGTGACATGATAGCAATGTTTCAATATCTCAGGGGTTGCCACAAAGAAGAGGGTGTCAAGCTATTCTCCAAAGCACCTGAAGGCAGGGATAGATGGAAACTAATCAAAGAGCGAAGCAACCTAGAACCAAGGAGAAATTTCCTGACAGTTAGAACAATTAATCAGTGAAACAACTTGCCTCCAGAAGTTGTGAATGCTCCAACACTGGAAGTTTTTAAGAGGAGACTGGACAACAATTTGTCTGAAATGGTATAGGGTTTCCTGCCTGAGCAAGGGGTTTGACTAGAAGACCTCAAGGTCCCTTCTAACTCTATTGTCATCATCTTAAAGTAAACAAATTTGAACGTAGTTAGAAACTTGTTTCGGAAACTAATAGGAAATACTATCAATGTGGAAAATGAAGTAGATAATCACAAACCACTTTACCAAGATACTCTACAGGGATATGTTCACATAATATATTTAACCATACTCTAATGTATCTTGGTTTTCAGGAAGTATGAAAATCAAACAAGTCATGGCAATTGGTGGCTGAATTCATATCAAACCACTTTGTGGAATGGTAATTCATTTCTGTCAAGGAGATCATAAGGTTGATTGATTATTATATTTATTTTCATGTATTTATTTTTCTTTGTTGGCTAAGTTCATGGGACTTTGTAAACAGAGCTGGAATCATTATGGAATCTGTGTAGTATATAAAACTACCATATATAGATACGATTAAAAAAAATAGCATCCACAAACATTGATGGTTTTGCTACTGTTCACAAATGTGGTTTGTAGACCATAAAATGCCGCTGGGATGCCTGAGGCAGATATCTCTCCAAGCCAAGAGTATAGTGGCTCATTTCATACTGAATAGGAAGCCATAAATCACAGTGAGGGGTCCTTGGTGCTCTCCGAGCTTGGATGTTTTCTTGCAGCTGTTTCATTACCCAAGCTAGGTAACAACATCAGTGCTAGTCATGAATCACAGTTCACACATCTTAATGGATGAGTATATATACCATAGTAAATCCAACCCAGATTATGACTTCATGCAGTGTGCAAATATATATAACTAATGTGCACTTTTTATTCTGTAAATAGCAGCCATTGAGGAAGGCTGGGCAGCACTGGGACTGTAGAAGATAGGAAGGAGGTATTTTAGTCTTGTCTTCCATGTTAGAATGACTCCTGGGGGCTTATTTTGAAAAACAAACGGTAGCTTTTCAGAACACTTTTTTCTGGGTAGGTTGGGAAAGTATTCTCTCACAATCATTGTGGCATACATATCTCAACTTTTCAGTTATTAAGAAAAAAGCATTAGGTTAAGATTAGATAGATAGATAGATAGATAGATAGATAGATAGATAGATAGATAGATAGATAGATAGATAGATAGATAGATAGATTTATAATATGGTTTTAATATTCTAGTAAAGCAAAACTGCTTAAAGCTGCATCAAATTACTTAAGAACACCTTAAATGTAAACTACGCATTGCATACATTACAGCTTGTATAAATACAGGCATGTATTTCTGTTTTTAATTAAATGTGGCAGCTGCCAATGGAAATCTAAATATGACTGGATATCTGAGATATTATTGCTGGAATATTTTTTAACAATCTGTTTCCATTGTCTGTGCAAATGTTCTTCCAGAGTAGCCAGCCAGGATATAAAAATTAAAATTCTTTTTTTCATAATGGGTGAGTAAGCTTTGACCATTTAAAATCTCTCTTTTCTCCCTCTTTTACCCAGCTTGCTCAGCCCCTTCTCCCCATTATGACATTTATTATTTTTCCATTCACAGCAAAACTATTCACATCAAGGTAATTGATGATGAGGAGTATGAAAAAAACAAGACTTTCTTCATTGAGCTGATGGGTCCTCGAATGATGGATATGAGTTTACAGAAAGGTGTAGTACTGGCTCTCCCAACTAACATTAACACTCTTCTTTCCTCTTTCTCTTATTTCCTACCTTTCTTTTCTCGCTATCAGTGGCCTCTTTTTTTTAATTTTCCAATTGCTCTATCCTTAACACTGCTGTACCTGCACAGCTTGTCACATGGTACTGATGGAAGTTAGCAAGATGGTGCTTTGTTTTTTTAGCTGAAAATGCAGTATTTGTGTGTGTGTGTGTGCTGATGTGACTGAAAGATGTCAATGCATATTCTTGAAATAACAGGGCATTGGAGTTTTCAAATCCATTTTCAACATTACAGAAATAGGCTATAGAGCTCAACACTGCAGCATGATGCAAACGTATATGCATATTGGAAGTCTTCCAGCTCAACCTGCACATAGGACTCTGCTTTTGGCATACCTATCATTGTCCCAAGAGCTGCACACTAATAGTAGTTTCTTGCCTTGCAAAAGAAAATGGTTATTCATTTTTCTGTACAAAACAAGATGTTTTATGAATCAATTGACCAACATGCTATAACAAATCATTCTTGTCTTCCTATAAACTCATTTGGCATTTTAAATTCAAATCCATGCCGGTTCAATGTACCATGGAAGGGGACTAAATATTTCCTCTAATTAGAAGCTATTTATTTAGAGATAAGAGTTGGCAGAGAGATAATGACTTGGCTCAGTGCCTCCAGTAGTGGCATATATATAGTTGAACAGAGATTTGAAATTGGTCTTCTCACATGGACTGATCACTACTGCACACCCTTCAATACTCGTGTGTATAAACACACTCATTTGTCTCTAGATGGCCTGTCCTCAGCCTACTTTTTGCAACCTTACAAATTGTTTGATTAATTTGAAGGCTAAGTTAACACAAAGTGTTAGAACAAAAAAATATTTTTTTCATCAAATCATCCAAGAATGCTGCTTCAGAATCACACATTTATTTTGATATTAGTCTGACATCTGTGAGGCCAGTTGATACGGAGGCTGCTGACAACAGCCTGTGGGCAGGAGACTAGATGTGGAGAAGTGGGATGCATACAGTGTGTGTGTGTATATATATATGTGTGTGTGTGTGTGTGTGTGTGTGTGTGTGTGTGTATGTGTGTGTGTGTATATGTGTGTGTGTGTGTGTGTATTGCCAAAACCTCTTTCTTTTAAATGTTTTCTTCATTGTTTATGTAGAGAGATTTGATCAGAAAATGACTCCAATCAATCTACATGTGACTATACATGAAAACTGAGAATCATAATTCATCCTAAAAATACATTCAAGATTTCTCACCATTGCATGTTATATGGGAGAGTTGTAGCCCATACAGATTCTTCCTTTGCTTAAAGAGCTAATTTAATGTTGCATTTCTCTTCTCAACATTTTGAGGATACAGGCATATATTAGGGTCTAGCCCTTTTGTGGCACTTTCTACAAATTGAAGGAAATAATTAGGATTCCTTGAGAAAATAACAACAGAGATTGTGTTAGAACTAGGGGTCAAATAAAAATGCAATCAATGTAAATAGATAACTTCTAAGGAAAAACGGAAAACCATTAGTATTCATTCTTTGTCGTTCTTCCTGTTCATATACTAAAAAAAATAGGTAAGAAAAGAAGAGAAAGTAAAGTGAGCAAGTCTAAGGCATATTGATTTAAAAGTAAATGCCACTGAGTTTGATAGGATTTACTCGTAGCTAGGTGGGTATAGAATTTCAACTTCATTTTTATAAGGGTCTCTTTCTTGTCATTGCACGATACTCATATGGTTATATTATATTCTGCCCATAACCTTATAACATTACATTCCATAAGCACTGAGTAATTCAGTCAGCAAAAATGAATTATCAGTTCTCAGTAAAAAAAAAAAAATTACTATATCAAGTATGGAGAAAGAAACTAGATTGCCTTTGCACAGAAAAAGATCTAGATGAGAAAGTCCTGGCCTGTGTTTTGCGCATGAATCTGTGTATGTGCGTGTTTGTATGTTAAAAGAATATTTTAATTCTATCTTATTGCACTCTCCACCCACTGTTCAAGACAGAGAAAAATTGGCTTTTTACCTAATACGCTAAAGATGCTTGTCCCACCTCTACCTGTAGGCTGTTCTGGATTAGCCATAGTTCAGCCAGTTGATAAACTGTTATTACCATGTGACATTTGATTAAATGTGCTATTGAGGTCACCTTCCACTAACCATCACTATAGACCAGGTTCCTCTTCCTCACTCTTTGCCCCTCCCTTCTCTCCTCTTTCCTTCCTTCCTTCCTTCCTTCCTCTAATATTCTTTAACTCATCTAAAAATCAGCTCCAAGTGATATGTCTTAAAAAGCAAGTGAAACACCACCAAGGCAGTAGCAGAAGCAGGCTGCATGTGAGAAAGTGTGGTGGTATTGGTAGTAGTAGTAGGATCAACTGCTGCTGCTGCTGCTCTGAATTTGCTCCCAACCAGGCTACCCACTGTACACCCATCTTTTTCTTGTTGTCCCTACAGGAAGACCATAAGGGTTAAAATAGTAGATGAGGAGGAATACGAAAGGCAGGAGAATTTCTTCATTGTCCTTGGTGAACCGAAATGGATGGAACGAGGAATATCAGGTGTGAGATCCTTTTTTTGAAAAAAAAGAAAGAAAGAAAGAAAGAAAGAAACCAAGCAAATGCAGATTGCAAAAACAACCTTTTTTGCTCCACCTTTTTCTCTTTGATTTTTACACAGACCAAGTTTTATTCTTTTCCCTCCTGTATTCTCTCTCTCACCCTGTTTCGGTCCCATCTCTGCATTTTTGAACTTAGCTTAAGATCCTCCTTTTGTGCAGTGCTTGTGCCTTACAGGCTGTTTGAACTTCCATGCGTTTGGATCCCTTCTATTTACTCTCCTTTTCCCTCCCTGTTTTCCTTATTTTTGATGTGATCTTGTCTCCTTTTCTTATACCAAAATGGAAAATCCTTTTCTCAGAAGAATGTGCTAAACTGCATGGTTGCCTCTTCAGCTTGCTCCCCAATTCTGAACTTTGCACAGTGGTCCCTGTCATTTTTTTTATTCTCTTCATACAGCTTTGTAATTAATATTAGCTACTGATTTTTTATATATAAATATATATGGCTACAGATATGTACATATTGGAGTCAGATTTAAACAAGTGCTGCCAACAAGAACAGCCAAGAATATTTGCAATTAATTCCCTGCCAAAAAAAGAAATCTTCAAATAGACCAAACTACTTTATAATACAACTTCATAGAATTCATGTTAGGAAGTACTTTCTCAAGAGTGTCATCAAAGACATAGAGGGTCTAAGACAACTTGCTTGGCCATCTCATCCTAGCCAACTCGCTTTGGCCAACTCATTGCAGGACAACTCACCACAGACAACTCAACACAGGGTAACTCAAGAGAGGGACAAGTGAATTGTAGTAGACCTTACTTTGCTTTAGGTTTGAACCTTCTCAAGTTAGGCATCCTCAAGGTGGAGTGAGCTGTAATTCTACTTGTCCCTTTCTTCAATTATCCCACATTGAATTGTGCCACAGCAAGTTGACTGCAGCGAATTGACCAGGCAAGTTGGCTGTGGCAAGACAGCCAGGCTGAGTTGTCCCATTCTGGACATACAGGCATGTCAGCAAAAAGAATTTCCAAGATGGAAGTCAAAGCATGCTGCCTTCATAATGTATTGAACCACTCATCAAAAGGCCCATGCTGGCTGCAAATTCTAGAAGTCTAGTGTATTTGGAGGGCCACAAGCTTCAGAAAATCTGTCTTCAGCTGCCTTTGCTGAATTTGTTAACCCACTTGTGGATCCCAGAGATTTTGTGTCTGACCTTGGATGTTTCAAGAATCTCTACTTAACAGTTCTTCTCTCTAACGGGTCATATCAACAAAGATCTAGTGGACTTTCATATATTTTGTATTCTTCTTCACAAAATGTGAACAACAAATAAAGCTCATTAAAAAGATGCCTATACAACAATGCTTGGAAATTAAATGAAGTAAATAATGCTTCATAGTATACATTCTGCCAAATATCAGATTATTTAGTTTGGTATAACATTGATGCTTCAGAACTATAGAGCTAACATTCTTGAAAAGCAAAGAAATAACAGCTCTTAAGTATTCGTAATAGTAGCATACTGCTATTGCTTCTGTGATTAGTTTTATGTTTTATTGTGGACTATTCTTCATTCAAGGGGCAATACAGAACAATTGTCCAAAGACACAATGTAGCTAATTGTTACTTAGCATTGAAACATTTAATCTAAATACCAAATCACTTCTTTTTGAGCTGGAAAGTTCTTTGCTGGGTTTTCAGAACCCAAATTAGGTTACTCTGATGATTCCTTATTTGTAAACTTCTATCTTTTTTTTTTAACTTTTATACTCCAAATTTCTAAGTTCACACCTCTCTCTTTCCATCCCAACACTCTTATTACCAGCAGTCCACACACAACATGGGTACTTGGAAATGTTCATATGATCTCTGTACATCTACCAACAAATCATATTAATGTGAGTTTTAAGCAATTTAACTCATGAGAAAATGCTGATACTATTACTAAGGAGGAGAGTGTTTTATATATTATGCATTCCACTGAGATGGTGTTTCTCTGGAATCGGGGAAATCAGAGGCCGGAAGTAGTTTGATTGTTTGCTTACTTGTGCAGTTCATCGACCACCTCAATCCTAGTGGACTTTAAGCAATTTATTGATATTAAAATAACATTGATAAATATTATATTACTTTTAAACCTTAAAATTACAGTAACAAGTATGTAAGCATTGATGGCTCCACAATTCCTGAAGGCCTTCCAATAAAGCCAGTTTTTAATTTACTGGGCTTATACACCATTCCAATCAATAAATGGCTCCAGCAGGTTTACTTACCTCATTAAAAAGACACAAAATCATTATAATAGCAACAATAATAACAGTATGAATTAGTACAACAACAAACTGTTAGCACTGGGAAGTACCATGGTGAAAAATATTTCCCTTTAGGACAAGTTATATAAC